TGGCACTTAACCATGTTTCTTCTTCGCTTTCGAGACAACGTTGCCTTGAACGCCACCAGCAACATCCCCTCTCCTTTTCTTTTATCTGTAATCCAAGCCACGCTACCTCCAGGCCAGCCATGTGTCCATGCATCAACCGAACAAATGAAAGGTCTATAGGGTATTAGACCACAACGAACCCATTCCTGCTTGCCCGAAACTCTGACGGTGCATCAAATTGCGTGCTTCCCCATTCCAGCCCAACATCACAACCCCCGCCACCTTTTGCGTCCTCCACACTTTACCCCCACAGTCGCTCACAATCCATACATGTCCCATCCATCCAGGTCATTCGAGCGCTTACTGCTTGCAGACTCGTCGGGAGCGCCTTGAGCGTCGTAGGGCGTGCGTGTAGCCACGTTTGCTTCCAACTCGACGTCAAGTCACAACTCGTCGTCGTCCATCTCCGAGGGCTTCAGCAGACCGCCCACCTTCATGGCACGCTCGCGCTCCTGCTCCTTGGCCGTCTTGGCTGCTTGTTCGCGTTCTTCGGCGTAGAGCTCGGCATTGTCCCCAGAGAACTCCTTCAGAGAAATCAAAAAGTCTCGGAGAATGACCTTGAACCGGTTCAGGTCAGAGTTGGTGGCAAACAATCCGTCAATGAACGATGCGATTTGGGCGCTAGCACATGTTAGTAGATGATACGATAAACAACAAGGGAAAACGTACGTCTGCAGGTTGGGGAAGGCAGTTGCCAGCAGGTTGCCAACAAAGTTTCGCAAGAATTCTCGGTTTGGTGTACCTGCTGGTGCCATATCTGGTGATGTGTAGATTGGGCCTTGCAGCTTGTCCGAGTCAACAAGCCAGAACAACTTGGCCAACAACATTGACTGTGACTTGAAACCAGCCTTGTGGTCGCTGTCGGTGACAACAAAGAAGACATCTTGGAGAATCGTGGTGAAGAACGTTTGGAAGAAAGCGTTGCAAGTCTGCTGGTCGGTTTCGGCCATGTTGGAAATGAGCTCAAAGCACATGGAGAGACCCGCGCTCTCAACCTCGCGGTTGTCGTGCTTACTGGCCCACATGCACGAATCGATGACAAACTTGAAGGATCGTGCATCCAGACGCAACAGGGCTGGGAAACAGCGGAGATTAATGGTTCGCAGGAGCTTGAAGAACTCGACGCGGTGCTCCGGGTACTCGGAGAAGTCCTTGTTGATCATGTCCAATGTGCACTCGAAAACGCTGTCCATGATGTTGATGATTTGGTCCTCCATCATTCCCTGTGAGATTGTTAGCATAGAGTCGGGCGGTAGCTGAGCGAGTCCGACCATGTGCTTGCTCAGGTTGGGTCTCCAACGTACATGTAGTTTGTTAATAATGGTTGTCATTACGTTCAGCACCTCTGCTTCACGAGCGTCCGGGACATTGTTCTTGTAGTCAATCAAAACGGCTTCCAAGAGCTTCGGCACAATGTTGTTGTGAATCATCTCCAGATCGTCGGCTTTCTCGACGTATGTGTTGATGAGTTTAAGGATTTCCTTCTTGATTGTGCGGAGACCGCGTACCTTGGGCATCTTGGTCGCAATGTTGCCCTCCCGCTGAACTGCTTCGTCAATGAGCTGTGAGCTTGCACGGTACATTGTCAGCATGTCGAAGTATATCCGGCCAATTTGTGGGTAAAAGTAGGATCCGATAGACCCGCACGCTGCAACGTTAGTCTTCATGATATTTCCAACAATCTTGATGACCTCGGAATCCTGGAGGCAGGCAGGGTTCTGGTTAGCTTGGGCAATGATGTTATCCCAAGCCGAGTTTGGCAGAGCCATCAAGTCGGCGATAAGGCGCTCCTGCATGCTCTTCTGTCCTTGCGCGCTGATCATGTAACCACAGGCTTCGTAAAAGGTGTGAACCTGTTGAGGCGAAAGGTCTGCGGTAATCTTCCTGAGGTTACGAACAATCTCGTCGATGAATGGCTCGGTCTCGCCAGGCTGGAGAGCGACGAAATGTCTACGGCACTTGTTCGCAATCTTAATGAAGGTGTCGCAAGCCATGTCCTGGACACCCTCGTGGGTCTCGTGCATGAATTCGAACAGCTTGTTGACCACAGTCTTCAGGAATTTCCAGTGAGCCTTGAGGAATCGGGGATATTGGCCGACAATGTACATGATGTTACTGGCGACGACAGCCTTATTGTCCTTTCCTCGCTTCATCTCAGTCAATCCCAAGAGATCCTTGATGACAGTGACTAAGAAACGCTTTTCAGTTTCCTCGTTCATGGCACCGGAGATGGAACCAATAGCCCAGCAGAGGGTGTTGCAGTTGGCCCATGACCATTCTGAACCGTCAACTTGACGAGCCAACTTCTCCGACATGATCTGCTCGGTATCGTTAACATCCAAATGGGTCAGGAAGACGAGACATTCTCTTGTAGATTTGTAAAGTTGAATCGTGTCGCTCTCCTTGACGAATTCACGGACAATCTCGCCCTCGTCATTCTCGACGATAAGAACTTCCTCGGGTCTGACCATCTTTTCAATCATGACTGTTCGGAGGTTGGAAAGAATCTCGGTGTACTTATTCTTTCTCAGGGGGTAGTTTGCCAATTCGCGGGCTCCATTTCCAGGGATGCCCATGCTCAGGAGGGGGTTCATGTCGGTGATTGGGAGTGCCTGCATCTCATCGTACAGCTCGGAGACAAGTTTGGTCCAGTATTCCAGGCAGATCTTGAAGACCTCACGATCGTCAATTTGACTAATGCGAATGAGGTAGAAGTGTCCGTGGGTGAGGAAGTCCCTGTTCATTAAATTCTCAATGACGCTCAGGTGCATTGTGAAAAAGTTAGTGAGGAACAGAGCGAGATTCAGGACGAACTCCTGGTCTCTGCTGTTGCTAGAAGAGTATGTGCTCTTCAAGTCAAGCGAAAGTGGGATAATCTTGGAAATAGCCGTCAATGTCTCGGTGAACATGGAAACGAGCTTGTCGTCGTAGGCCGGCTCTGTGTGGAGACCGGCAATCTCAGTGAGACATTTCAGCGTAATGTTGCGGAAGTCTGGCACTTCGAGGAAGCGACTTCGCAGTGTCTCAATCAGACTTTGGCCGCTGGGGGGCGTCTCAAAGATGTATCCCAGAGGAATCCAGTTGAGGAAGCGCAGTAGCGTCTCCAAAGTTGCCTTGATGAGCGAGGCCTCGGTGGCTGTGCGCAGAACCTCTGAACAAAGCTGGTAGATGGCGGTAAACTCGTCGCACATGCTCTGCTTGAGTTCTCGTCGTTTGGCCGAAGTCATCTGCTCCTCCGAGTAGTCAAAGACCTCTTCAGAGAGCAGGCGCAGAATGACCATGTTGTTCTCGCATATTCCCAGGCTGCTATGGCATGACGATATGATTTCGTTGATAAAGGTGGGCCAGTTGTGGGGCCATTCCTGCTTCAAAACCGAAACGAGGACGAGGTTGAGCTTGTTGAGGAGGGTGCGCTCGGCGCGGCGGGTGTCGTCGTTATTGGAGAGCTGGATAATGAAGTTGACAATAAAGTTGCGGATGCCTGGTGTTGTCAGCCTAGTTGGCAGAAGAAGTTTTTCTCAGCCATACCTTGACATTGGTCGCGGGGCAGCACCTTCCATCTGGTCATGATGACATTGTCGAGAACTTGGAGACCCAGATCTGCCGTCTTGATTAGCGCCATGGTTCACTCGCCTTGCATCGCAGCCTTTGTCTTGACTCACACTTGGTCTGTGGATACTGCGCATCGGAAAGGATCTTGTCGACCAGTAGCCACGCATCAGGGTTTTCCTTGAACTATGCGGGAGTCAGCTGGGCAAGCTCGTGCAGCGTCCGCGGAAATTAGGATGCCTACCTGGTTCAGCGTAGCTTGAGCTTGTTTTTGCTGCGAGGAAGAAAGTGTTAGCTGTGCTCCCGGGCGTAATGGGCAGGCCAAGGGGACGAGAGGACATACTGTATCACCGCGGCCCTCGTAGAAGGCGCGCACTGTGGCGTCGAGCTCTTCAATTGACAGAGACATGGCGGGCTGCAGCGCGGCGGGAAAAGCTCCCAATCAGCCTGGAGGTGTCGTCTGTAGTGCCAACAAGCTTTACCAGCGGCTCTGCTTCAGTCGTGGCGAGGAGGGAGTGTGCGTCGGGCGTAGGCAGCAGGCGAGCGCGCAGAGGGTGGTTGGATTGCAGAAGTTGTGTCTATGGACGAAGGTGGGGCACTTGGGCCAAAGGGAGATTGTGCGGGCAGGCTGGCGGAGTGGGGAGGGCAAGTTTATGTTGGCGGACGGGCGGGTTGGCGGAGCAAGAGGCTGTCGAGCTGCTCATACAAACAAGAGGCTTTGGGCGCTGACGTCGCAGAAGGAGAAGAGACACGGGTTGCGCGGTGAAGTCGCGTTTGTCAACCTGAACCTGGAACTACCCGTGCCGAGAGACAAGAGCACACACCACACCAGCGCTAGCAACTCCACTCTTGCATCTGCGATCTGCTCCTCCCCTGCTCTTTGCTCACTCCTACTGTGCATTTACTCATTCACCACCCTTCCCATCCTCGTCTCTCACCCTTGCCTGAACCTTCTCTTCTCACGCTGTTGGCACGGCCCAATCGGACGGCTGGTGGCTTGCATCCTCGTGCTGTCGTCTGCAGATTCATTATCTTCAACACGGGAACAGCCTTGTTACCAACACTCGGGTTACATGCCTAACCCAACCAAGACTGCCTTTCCATGCCTTTCCATAACTATGCCCAACCAACCTTGGTCTTTTTATTCAAGAGGCATCTATCATACATACAGCAGAGTACATGTATACATCCATCCGCATGTTCAGGCACACTGCGAGCATCACGCTTTTGCCAAGGGCTCTCCTTGCATAACGCCTCTCGCCACACGACCTTCCGCTTCAGCTCCCCGCATGTTCCATGGCCCCATACATGGCCAATCTGCCTTTGCCCATGCCTTGTGTGTCGCTAAAGCTGAATCCTCTTGCATCTGCGTTTAAATTCAAGGCGCGCCCCTCATCTGGCGACATGCAGCCATGCTGGGATCCACCTACTTGGACTACTTTCTCCGTCCCCACGACCTGAACAATGCTTCCAGTGACTTGCATCATCTACTGCCACAGTGTGTGGTTAGTCGAAACCCGCCACTCATTACTTACGTTTGCAGACACAATGTCCTGACCTCACTAGATAGACTGCTTAGCATCCACTCTCGAGACGCTGTCGGTGTGCTCTCCTAACAATGCCACATGTTTCTGTACCAATCAAGATGTCGCTCGTAGCATGCATGCGTGTGCTGATAGAACATGTACCATCAAACAAGCCCTCACCGCGCTCAACATCACCGCCACCGTGTGTCAAAGGCCCGTTCGCAATCGCTCAATCCAACCCTTGACCGTTGCAAGCGTGAGCGGAAGTATTGCTACCATTTCAGTTCTGTTGCGTACCCTGGATGCAGTCCTCAATCGCTCCTTCCGTTGGGACGACGCCTGTTCCCTTGGCGCTGGATTGGCCTTGATCCCCATGAACGCTATACAGCTACGCATTGCATCTGCGGGTCTAGGCCGGGATGCGTGGACGTTGCCCTTTGACGATATCACCTACATACACAAAGTGAGCTGGCCGCATACGACATAGTCTCCTGAAACCTCCTCACTAACACAAATAGCTGGAATGGCTCGGGAAATTCTTCTACTGGCCCACTACTGCCCTTGCGAGACTGGCATTGCTATTCATGTACCTCCGCATACTTCCCCGAAAGAAGACAAAGACCTACATTTATACTGGCATGGCCCTCACAATTACGTATTGGCTCATCTTCCAGTTCAGCATCGCCTTCTTTTGCAAGCCCGTTTCTCTGGTCTGGACGGGCTGGGACGGTGAGCACAAGGGCTCATGCTGGGATATCAACTATCTCGTACTGTCGGCTGCTGGAGCCGCAGTCTTCTTGGATCTTCTTATCGCGCTTATACCAGTTCCTGTCCTGTATCAACAATCGATGACTCTAAGGAGGAAACTAGAGGTACTTACCATGTTCACTGTTGGCACATTGTAAGTAGACGCTGATTAATTGGTTTTCTTAGACTATGAACGTTAACAATCCGTTTCTCGTCGCAGCATCCTCGCCGTTTCGTGTCTGCGAATAGGGTCTATCATTAATTACGCTGAGTCGCTGAACCCCACCTGGGACAACACACCAGCCAACTACTGGAGTGTCCTGGAAGCCAACACTAGTGTCTTTTGTGTCTGCATGGTCAGTATGAAATGACCCTCTTACACCCTGAGATTTGTTACACTAAAGCTTCGTAACTATAGCCTACACTGCGTCACCTACTTGTCCACCGACTGTCCTTCTTCAGCACCAATCATCCACGCAATATAGCCTCCGCAAACGACAATGGCGTTGAATACCCATGGGAGCGCACAACGGTGCCCAGTGAGCAGAGTGCAAGACCATCCAAGGACACAAGCCCTGGTACAGACGAAGCAGTTATGTCGGGATATCACCGAGCACAAGACGTTGAGCTAGTCGAACTTTGCGAAGGACCCATGGGAGAGCACGTCTTGCTGAGACGGGGAATCAACGATACAGACGAGATGGTGGAAAGAAGTACGCAGCAAGTACCAGCAATGCCAAACTTCGAGGATGACGACTGAGTACTATAATATCTTTGCACATGTAAATTCTTCTTCTATAGAAGCTTCTGCACAAAAAAAAGTGCCTATGCCATACACTGTCATGTACTCTCGTCGCTCCATCGCTTTTTGAACCGTTAATATGAAATAAGAAGAAGAAGAAAAAAAGGGAAAAAAAATGCCTTGACACAAATTGAACCTCCGCCCCAGACTTTAACATGAACGCCTCGCTTGTATGCACATGATAATGCCAAACGTCTTTTTTCATCTCCATCTCCCATCTTCTTGCCCGAAAAAAAGAGAAAGAGAAGAAAAAACATGCTACTCTTCATCAATGACACGGCCCCACTCGTGGCTTTCCAAACCATCACAGCCCCACATGATGCCCTTGAGCGAGGACTTGAAAAACTCGGCGTAGGCGCCAGAATTGCCCTTGGCCATGGGTACATCCATGTCCTTGCCGCGGAAGTGAATCTGGCTGATGGGCGCAACAAACCAGGCAGTACCCGCTGCGAAGGCCTCGACAAGACGGCCTTCCTTTGCGGCCTCCTCAATCTCAAAGATGTTGAACTTGCGCTCGACGACCTCAAGAGTCTCGAAATCCTGTGGGGCATCAGAGACGAGTTTCGCGCGGGCAAGCTCCAAGATGGACCGCCTCGTCACACCGTCCAGGACAATCCTCTCGTTCAGGTCTGCAGTAACAAGCTGCAACTTGCCCTCTTTCGTCCGCCACACGACGAAAAAGTTGCTAGCACCCGCCTCGGTAATGGTGCAGTCTTCACCGAACAGCCACAGAATCTGGTGGTAACCGCGCTTGCGAGCCTCGCCCTGTGCAACGAGCGAAGGACCGTAGTTTGCTCCTACTTTGGCGTATCCGAAGCCGCCGGGCCATGCACGGCACATGTCGTCCTGGGAGGCGAGGAGTTTGATGCCGCCGCTCATGTCGCCCATGGGGGCAAAGCAGCACAGGATGATAAAGAGCAAGGCTTCCTTGGGGCGTTCGACGCCGAGCGCGGGGTCCGAAGCGATCATCGTGGGGCGGATGTATAAGAATTGGCCCGGGCGGTCCTTGGGGAGCCAGCGCTTGCCGTCTGTAGCGCAGAGCTTGACAATGAGCTTGAGGAGCTCCTGCGGGTCAAATGCAGGCAGCGCAATACGGTTGGTCGACATGAGCATGCGGCGGCAGTTTAGGTCTGGGCGGAACAGACGGAGTTTGCCGTCGTGGCCGCGGTAGAGCTTCATGCCTTCGAAGCATTCGGTTGCGTAGTGCAGGCATGAGGCGGTGGGTGCGAGGGATAGTGGGCCATAGGGTTGGAGGGTGGGTGCTTCCCAGCCAGACTCGACAGTCCATTTGGCTTGTACCATGTGGTCGGTGCACACCTTTTGGCTGGCCATCTCTGCCGATCCTACAGCGGGGACTGAGCGGGGAGTGTTGGTGTATGTGCAGGTCATCTTGGAAGCATCGAGCTCCGCCAGAGGTGCTTCTACTACATCCTGAGTCTTGGACGCTGGCTCATTTGGTGGTGTGGCAGTGATGGAGTTTGTGAGAGATGACGAGTTGATTTGTCCCGGGGCGTTCTTGAGAAGCGCCGACTTGATTCCCTCTTGTGTGAGGTCGGTGACGTTCTCGTTTTGGTTTGGGGGCGTGACGGCGATGGGTGCCATGGTTACTGTTCTGCTTTGTTTTTGTTTTTAATTGCAGTTAGATTGTGACTCGACAAGAGTTGGAGTGACAATGGCCGACGAAGCAGCGGAACCACAATCAGTGATAGAGAGGGTGAAGGAGGGGGTGAAGGGTTAGTCAAGTACAAAGAAAGGAAAACAAGGTACCCAAGCCAGCCTCTTATACCAAAGGAACGAAAAATTTCGACCAAGAGTCACACCTCCCTATCACACGGACGGGACCAAACCCACCTACCTGTAGGATCCATCGACGTGATGTCCGCCCAGCCGTGCACCGACTACCGCGGCGGTCTAGTGTCCTTTTTCTTACATACGAATGCCATGGCCATGATATAAGGTTCCACTTCCGGCGGAGCCCCAACTTGATAACAAACTTTTTTTTGCTAGCTGCCGCCTCTTTGCCGTTGCCATTGAGCATCGTCTCGTCTTGAATTTGCCATTGCTGCAATACATCCGTGTCATTGATTCCCGCACGGTGCCGGCATACGCGTCTTCCAGAAGCCGGTGCGGTGTCTGCTAGCGTACCTGACTATTTTAGATGCGGTGTTGTTGGTAGGGCGTGTGCCGAGCCTGTGGTATCCAGGCCAGGCCCACCGCTCCCGTACCTGCCGCTAGTATCCGGTCAGACTTCCGATTGACGAAGACTCATCCCAAGCCTCAAGCAATGCGACATCGGACTCGGCTCCATGTTCGGAGAAGGACTATATAGTGCATACATATATGCACGTCTTGTATACACGTGTCTACGGTTCCGTATCCGACAGTACTGGCAACTGGCCGCGACAAAATTGCCATGGCAGTTGCGGAAGATGCCCCTTCGGCAAGCAGCGGTTCAAGCGATAGAGAACTTTGTTGCAGGGATATAAATCGTTCAAGTGACCTTCGCGAAGCAACAGGGTACATATCAGGATCGTTTGACATCTTCCGAGAGCCGCTATGCACTTTGATGCAGTAGTGCCACCTACATCATGCCTGGCCAGCATCATTCCGCATATAGCCAGCTCCTCCATCCATCTCTATCCGACAATGCAGTGCCTGAGATGAGATGACGAGTCCATGTCAGCATCCAAGCAATCAGTGTGCTTGGTTCATGTAGCTCGCTGAAAGCATTTACCCTACCCTCAAACTGTCAATGCCTGCAAGTATTCCATCGGCAACCTCTCCAACACGACCTTCCAGCGAGCTCATATCCAACCTGCTAATCGCAGCATTGATCTGCTCCGTGACCACTTCATCCTGCACCACTTCTGCCGTGACCTGTCCCTCTGTCCTCCAGTATTCCTCCCTTACGCCCCTCAGCGCCGGATCGCGGTTTACAGAGTTGGTGAGCAGCCCCAATGCCCGCATCTTGTTAAAAGTATCCTCTGCCGTCCGGGTAGTACCCTCGATGCGCTCGGCAATGGAAACGGGTTTCGCAAACAAGCGGTTGGTACTCGTAGCCCACAGCACATACGCCAGGCCTATGTCTACCAGGGCGAATGTCATGTATCGTAGGAAGCGGACGCGCCAGTATGCCGAATCGAGGTCCTGGACATACTTTGCCCGTTTGTTGGCCAGGATATCATAGGTACCCATGTACCAGACTTCTACCACCATCACAAATATTCCTGCAATTGTAGCGTGGATGCGGAAGCGTGAGCCTTCAGCTCCGACAAGCGACGAGGTAGCGAGACCGAGCACAGCTAGTTGAAATATGTGCGGCGTAACAATCTTCGGCAGAGAGTATAGAAAGTAGTTGAACTGATCATTCCCGTCGGCCACCGTGCACCACACGCAATTCAACAGTGTGTCTGGACCATATGCGAGGTAGAGCAACTTGTTGCGCATACCCCACTTGAACTTTGTCAGGAGGGCTTCATCTTCGTCCGTCAGTGGGCGTAGATGCCTCAGCCGTATAAATAGCACGCCTGGCTCCGTTCGTATGTGGCTCTGTGTCTTGAGGAAGACATTCTCGGGTGCGTATCGCGAAAGCGAAAGACCAAGGCACATGACTGCGCTCAAGAAGAGCAAATTGAGTGCATACTGAACTCTTGGTGGTGTCGGACGTATGGGGACGCTTGGAGAAGCTGTGCGCACGGCTTTGATCCAGTCGAAAACGAGAGGTATGAGAAAGGGCCCGAAGATGCTTAGCAGCGAGTGGACATTGGGCGGGAGAAATGTGAGGCGCGGAATGATAACGTAGGATATCACCAGGAGGAGGATGGAGCGCAGGTTGATCATGGTGCGCGCAATGCGATCATGGGAAGGACAGGCGTCGAGAGCGTTGCGTTTGCTAAAGACATGTGTCCTTGCGCTTGGCAAAAGTAGTGGGAAACGTGTGAACGACAGCGGGACCGAAGTAAGCGCGGTAGCACGTGACAATCATTGCACTAAAGAGCGCACGTCTAACATTTCCAATTCCATTCCACACTTGCTCATCGCAACATCCTAGTACGTGTGTAGTTTTGGCTAGCCTAAAGTAGCTGTAATCTGTGCAGATATTATAGTCGGCCCGAATTTCATTTCATTGAAATCTAATTGCATATACCCGCTAATAATTATGTCATAGTAGATTCTGAAAAGATTGTACGTATACCCTGTGCTTAACTGAAGCACGCCAATCTCAAATAACGCCAGTTCATCATGGGACATGATCTCGAAACTAAAACCCTCCAAGTTTGCAAGCTTGGGATCACAATAGGCCAAGTTTCCGGGCCCTCCCTCAAGTTGCATTACTCATACATGATCTTCTTCCATAAACCTCCCTTGAACAGGTCTTCTTCCATCCGGACTCCGCCCACCGCTACTCCTGCCTCCCGAAATATATGATCCTGCATGTGTGTAAAAGTGAGCAGGCGTGTTCGCAATGCTGACGGGGAGCTGCTCCAAACCACCTGCTAGTGAACTGTCAGAGGCCTCCCCGTCTTCGGTGAGGTTGCTCCGGGAATGCCGTGAGCGCGTTGCCATGGAATTGACTTGCGAGTAGTATATTGGAACTTGCTGGTGAAAAAGATCCCCTGGGGGCTGCCGTGGCGTGGTTGGAGTAGGATACGAATAATGCCCTTCATGATTTGATCCATGTGAATGATAGTCTACTGGCGTACCCCACACCGTCGTTGGAGAGTTTTGTGTAATGCCATCGTCTGAGAAGGACCGCCCTACACTCGGGGAGACGTGGTTGAAAGTGGCTTCCGTGGGTGATGTGTAAGGCGGCACAAATCCGTACGACGGAGGGCCTTGGGTGGGCTGTGGCGAGCCGTAGTTGTGGCTGGCGGAATGTGAGTACTGTTGGGCATGTTCCTGATGTTGGGCAACGGTGGCAGCGTCGACTCGATTGTGAATGGATACGTACTTGCTAG